AATGTCAGGTACGGTGATTCTAATCGGGTGGTGATGATCCCAGTTCTGCAAAATGAGTCTTGGAAATGCCTCATGCAAGGTAGTCACCTTCCAACTTTGTATCTTGACGTAATTCAAAACCTGTTTTTTGCTAGAAACGTTGCACGGACTCTCATAGTTTCCAACAGGATAGCTCCATTCCAGAGTCAGTTCTTAACCTGCAGCGACAAGCGTCAAGGTACAACACTTCAGAAACACTTTTCACCTCCTATATCTTCGAAGATCGCATCCTCTGGGGGACTACATGCAGCCTCACCTTGCTAAGTGCAATCTCCAGTGAATGACGAATGCGTCTCCGAAGATGTATCAAAACAAACGACCAACTTCAGTTAATGCTTAGGTCAGATCAAAGAGAACTCCCGCACGGATGGTTTATATGTGCTCATCTTCAAGGATGTGTGTGGCTTTCACCCACTGTACTCCTCACGCACCTACTACAGTTAGTGGGCACGACAAGTCGACCAGACTGGTTTGAAGAAACCTAGTAGAAAAGAGAACCGCCTCTCTGAGAAGGCACTGCGGAACGAGAAGAAAAAGGCGTTCGGGACTATAAGCGTCTATGCAGGGCCTATCCTCCCAATATTGCCGCCAAAACCACGCGCACAGGGCGCTTCGACAAGCAATTGATCACAACTGGATCAGCTATGGGAAGGTCGGTTTCTTGTTGGTAACTAAAATGCCATGAGTTCTGCAAAAAAAACTTCCGAGTTTTCCCATTTCATTGAAGTTTCGCAATTTTTTTGTAGTGTCTTGGGCACTTTCCATTTCGTCTGATTTGGGCTGTCGTTCACGATAATATCGTAATAATATCGTGATATCGTATCGTGTATTATGGACTCACTAGCAATTACTGCTTCGCGAGCAAGGACGTGTCTTACTGTGACAGGACAAAGATGAGTTGAAGACTCATGATGCTTGAAATCTGTAAACTCAGACCAAATGGTTAGCGGTGAGAAGCCCAGCGAATGAATTCAGAGGGGCGACATGCTTTATTTTCTGTGATAGTGATAGATTTCACCACCACACGTTGTTGTTACAAGGTTTATGGGAAAGCAATGCGGACAACCCACACAACAGAGACCACGCAAACAAATGGTGGTATAATCCTTCTTCAGTGACTGTGGACTGGATGGGTGGCGAGGTCCGTTCGCTGAAATCATCTTTATGCTTTTTCGTTGTCTCAAGTGGAATTAAATTTCTATCTTCTAAGCATCCACAGGTACCGCATTTAAGATTCCGATAATTTTCAGGTAGCCGCGGGCCAAGCTTTCGCAGTTCCGGCAGCAGGCGTCGGAGTAAACAATGCATATGAAGGGTTGCACTTCCCATCTGTTGGAACATTCTTGGGAATTCCTGACGATTACGACTACTAGAAGTTCCAGAATCTGGAATTCACTTGTTGAACTTTTGCAATCCTTTATAGGAGGTCTGGTTATTATAAATGCCACTACGAAAGCTGGTAACAAAAGTTCTCTAATCAATAATTCTTTTCTCCAACTCAGTTAAATTATGATCATATCAGTGCAAGTCAGAAATCTCCTGCTAAGCCTATCAATTTCTGACGAGAACATGTACACTTCCATCTCTTTTTGCCATCACTTGATTCCTCTTCTCTTCCTCCATAGAGAATCTTATTCCATTGAGGTTTTGCCAAAGTTCGTTGAATTACAAGACTGGCTGGCTCTTGATCCTTTAGCCTTCCGAGATTGTTAAAGACGTTTTATTAGACTAACGTTTCGGCGAAAATCGCCTTCTTCGGAGTCCTGAAAGTCAAAAGCACATTATCGAAACACTTCGCCCAAAAACCAACATCACTTTACAAAAGAAACCAAGGGTAGGGAATCAGGGAACGAAATCGTAACGGACCAACAACTCACCTCTTACTGATGTGGAACTCTACCGGGCACTCTGAGTCTAGAGCCTGAATTACAAGACTGAGCCTTCAGGACACAATTTTTTTCTCGTTCACATTCCATCGTGGTGCATAAGAGTACTTCCTAATGCTATAGATATGACGTGCAATTGTTTAAATTAAAACATTTGAATTGTGTCAGTGTCATAATTCAGAATGTGTCACACTTAGGTTTTGACTTCCAATTAATTGAGGTTGCTTCGCACGTTGTTAAGGCTGGCTCACACTTTACGTGGGGCGATATCCCCAACAGGGTACGAAGAACAACCAATTGTAGCAATATTCACTGCGCACGCCTTTTGTCGGCCCCAGTCAAAAAAGGCGTGGTTATGATGTCCATAGGTTTCCTACGTGCTGAGTCGCATCATGTAGGGACTGGCACGTTTTGTCTTACAGTAAATAAACGCGAAATATTTATTACAATCCACTTGTCTATGTGAAAACAGTGATGTATCAAGGTCCAAGAAACAAGAGTGTAATCGGCTAGAAACATGGAATCTAGTTCCAGTTCCGGGTTGAGAAAGGTAATATTGTTCTCGGTACTTCAACACTTCAGAGTTCGAAACAGCTGGGAAATAAGGCCAATCATAGAAATGCGTAAATTCACAAACCGTTCGTTTTATGAGTATGGATTGCTAGTTATTGCTTTTCGCAAGTTATAGCAAACATTTACTGCACTTACTCATATTATGGTTACTGTGATCGCTAGAGACGACAGGATTGTGAAGTAAAAGTTGCCACAATGGCTCACTTAAAAAACAAGCTGTACACTCACCTCCCTGTGGATATTGACCCATGCCACGTGTGAGGTGAATGAGTTGGCGCTGCAGTAACATGGCAGTTTCTTCGCTCAAAACTGCACGGGAACGAGGTTGAAGTGTTGTGATGCCCCAGTGCCGAATCCATATACTCTTCGCGCCGCCGCCAAACTAGCCACACGCCTAATCAAAGCTAAGCGCTAACTGTCTGCGCTTTCTCATTCCTAGTGGTTCTCTACCGCTGAGAATGTGCTTCGCTGCGGGATCTTTATATCCGCAGCAACTGCTGCACTTTAGTATAGCGCAGGAAGAGTTATCATCTCTCTCATGCTCAAATTTCCGTCTATCCCTGCAGTAAGCGAGTAGTACGATATCGCCAGTGCGGACCATGCACGTCGCCGCCCTGGATACAACCGCCTTGTAGGTTCGGATGTACATTAACCCCCGGGCGCCTACCTCGATAGCATCAACTTGTGCGGAAATGGGTGCTGGTTATAGCGGCTCGTGGCTTTTTGACTCGATGCTATAGCAAATATGATGGGCCGCACTGGGTGCTTCTCTGAAGATTCTGACAATTTAAATTAGATGTTATAGCCCTGTCATACTATTGTAGGACTGTTCAAAGGGAACTGGTCTTTCCCGGTCATTCTCTATTTATAATTTTAGTGGCGGCGGTTTCACAGTTCTATGGTCTTCACAGCGAACCTCCGCCATTAGTGGAAAAAATCCATCGCCGAGCGTCGGTGAATATTGTCAATAGATAATAATAACATACTGTGAGTGGAAGCGTGGCCGACCTTTTCCAAAGCTCAGTGAATGGACCGTAGGTACTATAGCTTGTGAAGCCATGGAGGCAGGATGCTGGACACGTTGCCTTGTGGTACGCTTGTGTGCGAGTTACTTTCGCCGCTCACTTGTCGCTTTTTGCACTCACACCCTTAGCTCTATTTCAGGGTACGAGCATCGCTGTGTTCTAAATCCACAGGGGAGGAGGGAGGGGTCGTACTTTTCTGTTGGGCTTGGGGGAGGGGGTCGTGTTTGGTCGTTGGGAAAGAGGGCTCCGTGTGCACAATCAACCGTGGCGTATGCGGCGCGATTTCTTCACGGCACCGCGGCGACGGGCGGGCGAAGGGTGATCGCTTGCGCCTCCGCCACTGTGCTTCAATCAGAAGCCCCTTTTGCCCCATTATGTGGAAGGAGGAGGAGAGAAAAGAGGATTGAACAAATAGTGAACGGTCAGGTGAGTTAGTGGTAATGGTGAGCAGAGAATACAGAAAAGTCGAGAATCAGAGCGTATTATTTCAGTCAACAGCGGAACTGGCAGAATGATTCCCTTCGAATGGGACGTGACGTTATAGCGTTATAAGGTCACAACCAACTGTTGGCAATTTGCCAAACCTCAGCTTGAACTTTCGTGTAAAAGCTGCTTGCGTCGTTTTCACAATCGAAGGAAACTATGCCGCCAGTTCTGCCATTCACTGAAGTAATTCGTGATAGTCGACTTTTCTGTGATCTCCTACCACTAACTCACATATGCACCCACTATCTGTTCAATTCCCTTCCTCTCTCTACTTTTCCCTCCTCTTCCTTCCACATAAAAGAGGCTGCTGGATTGGAGCACAGCGCCGGAGACGCGGGCCATCGCCTTTCGCTCCGCCCTGCCGCCGCGGCGCCGTGAAGAAACCGCGCCGCATACGCGCATGGGTGAGTTTTTCCCTCCTCCGGGAGAGAGAGGGGTGGTCGTATGTGCGTTTAGAGAGAATTGCTGCGTTGGGCAAAATTTTTGCCGGTTGTTGACTTTTCGCGTGGCTTCGCCTGTTTCTGTGTACTATCCTCCCTTGCGACGGAAAACTTTCGTGTGAAAAATTCGAAAATGTGGGAATTGGTAGGTGCTCGGAAATGGGAGAAGGTAGGGGGGAAGTCGTACCAAGATCCTTCCCCGAGAGGGGCGGGAGGGGAGTACCGAGACCCTTCCTCGAGGGTGGTCTTGGTCACTCACGCTACTATTTCACACATCAGGATGCTGTACCCTACCCATTCTTCGCCCATTCCTGCTATGCACGAATGAGAAGGGACCTATCCCGACATTTCTGACGTTTCATCCTTTTTCGCCGGTTCTAAATAAGCCGCTTCCACATTCGCATTTGAGGACCACCCAATGTTTTGTTGTAGTCGCAGTTGGCTTCTGCGACTTTCAGACTTGTAACGGTCAAAGACAAGTTGTACACTCTCATCCGTGGACGTTCCTTACCGTGTGCGAGGCGAACGATTTGATAGTTGTACACGTTTGGCACTTTCGGCTTTCGGTATGCCATTCCCAATACCGCTCGCGCTATCCTCAAGTTGCAGCACCTGCATCGAAAGCCGAATCCTTCAGACAAACGCACACTCGGCAGTAGATAACAAACAGATGTGAGAGCGAGCAGGCAAGCAGCGCGTGACCATGGTTAGGCGAGTGGCTGGCCGTGCAGCAGCACGCTCGAAGCATAGGAACGGCTCTCGAGTATGAATACCCTCCAATCTCGTTCCGGTTTGACAGGGGAGAATGACATGCTCCGCAGCTGCGGACCCATTTATCCCACACACGGCGAGATCACCCAGGACCTACGGAAGTGAGCGCACGATTTGTCGTCAAAAATAACAGGAGTTCCGGGTCACTGTTCCATCACTTATCGACGAATACTGAACCAGTCTTGTCAGAAGTAGTCATTCATCTAGGTAGCTGTTCTAATGATTCTTTGTTTCGGATTTTCGTCGTAATGTTCCGTCTAAAATGTAAACTGCACTAAGATCAAAAGAACGTTACATATGTTGTTCAACATAGACCATTACGTCCACCTGTTTATTTTTGTGCCCATGATTTTGGCAGCA